AGAGTTCTCATGTTTCAAAACAAGAGCCGAAAACTTCAATATAATTATTTATAATTAAATTGAATTAAAGTGCCAAGCTCTGTTCCATCTTCAAGCGGAGTTTTTAAAAATAATAACAAAAATACTAAAGAACTTATTATTTACTTAACGAGTTCTTTCCTATTTTCTATATATTTTCACACGCACACACACACACACACACACACACATATATATTTATACATACAGTGTAACCCGGATATAAGAGACCCGGATATAAGAGAAACTCGGATATAAGAGAGATTTTCTGGTCCCAAAGTGTTCCCATACTTACCTAAACAAAATAGACCAAACCTGGATATAAGAGAAACCCGGATATAAGAGACTTTTCCCGGTCCCGACAACTCTCTTATATCCGGGTTACATATATATATATATATATATATATATATATATATATATATATATATATATATATATATCAGAACAATGTCAGGAAAAATTAACTAACGTTGTACTGATTTATAGAAATTCATATATAATATTCTTATAAAAATCTATGACAAACATGTTTCAACCTTCAGGACTCCATCGGACGAAATTGAAGTTTAAGTTGCTGTGATTACGCATGTGCATGAGGAGAGTGGACGCTGAAATTTTAAATTTCCATAAATTTGTTTTTAAATATGTGTTTGAGCATATAATCTATGTAATTTCTTTTAACTTCTTTTTCTTAAAAATAAATAAATAAACAGCCAATCTTCGAGATCTCTTTGCATTAATGCCAGTGACCCCCCCCACCTCCACCAGGATTCTATCCTTGAACATACGTTGTCCCTGAATGTCATCAACAACCCTCGTGATATCATCAGTTTTCATCTCGCTATCTCTGAAAGCACAACTATTCACATCTGTCGTAATGATAAGTTTTTGGTCAGTTCGAAACGGTCAAATAAGCAGCTGATCAAAAAAAAAAAAAAAAAATGACGTAAAATCTGTTGTTAACTGGGGCAAGAAATGGCTTGTTAATTTAAACGCCTCCAAATCGAAACTGTTGTCTTTTCATCATCTTAGCGAACCTTCTTTGCTTTCCATCACAATGGCTGATGTTAATCTGCATGAGCGTGAATCATTACGCTTTCTCGGACTAACGTTTTCACGTTGACATGAAGTTGAAAGATTATATTGAATTACTTGCTAAGTCTGGAGCTAGAAAAGTTGGTTCACTGAGATAGTTTTCTCGCCAGAATCTATCTTACATATTTATAAGTGCATCATTCGTCTATGTATTGAACAGAGCTGTCGCATCTGATCTGGGGCTTCTGCTATGTATTTAGAGATTCTTTATAAAATCATTAACAATCTGCAATGCTATAGGTACTGACTCGTTATCTCGGCTTCAGCCAGTCCCTCACCGTCCCAACGTAGTTTCCGTGTAACTTTTCTATAAATATTTTCTTGGTAACTGTTCAGGTGAGCTTGTCTCTTTGGTACCTCGACTTTATGAATTTAAGCACATTACTAGATTGGCGGTTAAGTCTCATTATTTTATACTTGAAAAGGGTAGGTATAACCGTAAGTTCTATGCTAACAGTTTCTTCTCTCGTAGTTCTCGTTTGTCGGTCTCTTTTCTGATCTCTTGCTTTCCAATCAACTTCCGTCCTGGGTAAGACGATAAACTACATCCGGCAGCAGGGCCTCTGATCAGGGGGGGGGTAAGGAGCGTGGAACCACTTCTTAATTGCTGGTCTTCCCAAGTCCACCCTGATCAGGGGTGGTAGCACCTGTTAGGGTCCCAGCTATGGGCAAATATTTAACTCCCAAACTGGGGTCAAAGCATTATGAAAGTGTAAAAATAGGTTTTAATACCATCAATAATGTTTTGTGAAAAATTATTACCAGCAATAAATTTTTGAAGAAAAAATTATTACCAGCAATAGACACTATTACTAGCAAATACATTTTTGAAAAAAAAAATATTATCAGAAACGCTCTTTTGAAAAAAAAAATATTACCAACAATACATTTTTGAAAAAAATTATTACCAGCAATACATTTTTGAAGAAAAATATTATCAGCAATTCATTTTTGAAAAAAAATATTACCAGTAATAAAAATCTTGTCGGCATTAAATAACTCATTGAGGTTGATATGCCGTAAAACAAACGAAAGCAAACCAATATATACTGAGATAGATAGATAGATAGATAGATAGATAGATAGATAGATAGATTGGTTGATTGATAAAAAATATTACCAGCAATAAAAATTTTGTCGGCATTAAATAACCCATTGAGGTTGATATGCCGTAAAACAAAACAAAGCAAACCAATATATATTGAGCTAGATAGATAGATAGATAGATAGATAGATAGATAGATAGATAGATAGAAATATTACCAGTAATAAAAATCTGGTCGGCATTTAAATAACCCATTGAGGTTGATATGTCGTAAGACAAAACAAACCAAGCCATCCAATCAAATTTAATCTTAAAAATTTTAAATGCAATGTCAGCCGT